TAATGATAACCTTCCTATCACTAAGTTCCTCCAGTTTCATTCTTTCTTTCATTCTTGGGAATTGCCCCTGGATCATTCGCATGCCCCATTCTGACAACTGTCRAACTGCTGTGGCTTCTCGGTTAAGTACAATAGCATGATTGTTCTCTGCCATTGTGGGGAATGTATCTGGATCATTTTGCTGGCTTTGAATGAGATACTTTGCCCCTCTCACCTTAAAGGCCGAGTCTACAACAACTGACCCCCCATTCCTTGTATATATGGCCTCCAGCTTCTCGTATATGCCATAATCTGCCATGGTGCTGTCATGAAAAGTCCCAGGACAGTTAAATATTGCCATCCGGATTTGTCCGTTGGGGGCAAAGACAAGGCAACTATTAATGTAAGTATCCATGCCCCACCCATTATAATACATGGCCTGAATATGCCAATTGGTAGAGTGCTCAAGCTTAATTTTTAGCCCATCCGCTGCACCCCAGACCTTCTTTGTTCCAGGTGTYGGGTAGCTACTTCCTTGCTATTGCTGACACRTATGCCTCTACTTYTTCATCGATTGGGGGCCTAATGATTGAATTTGGGTGTTTTTGCAACACAAAAAGAAGGACTTGTCTAGAAAATCTCAACCATCTGTACAGGGGAGTGGAGGTAAGTCCAAATCCCATAGACAATGCCCTAGCTGCTGATCCTCGCGTCCTGTACCAAGTCAACACCAAAGCTAGCCCAACAGTTTTGGTTATCAGTCTTGGTTTCCCCTTGGGTTTGCCTTCCTTCGTAAATAGCCAAGGTCTGATTTGCTCAGTGTGTCTGTCCACAGTGTACCTATCRAACACTGGCTTAAAAAATGGAGAGGAGCTCCCTAAAGACAGGATGGTCTACACCACAGCAATTTAGCAGAGCCTGGTCGTCACCAGAACCAAACAGATAAGTGAATGGGGATTCAGTACACCCCATAAGTGCAATCCTTGGTATCCTCCTGTCTTGTCGGCGTTTGTCGTGAAGGGACAGCCGATGGCGCGTTTCCTCCTCCTCCTCCTCCTCCTCCTCCTGTTGCTGCTGCTGGAGAGCCCATGCAATTAAAACTAACTGAAAGGAGGACATTTTTCCTGTGAAGGAGCAATCGATTGCCAAATAGTGAGGGTAGGGACTGTTTTGT